GTGAAGATAAAAAGCTGAGTGAATGCAGTCCGTCTTTGTATTTTCTTCCACCATCAACACCCACAGTACCTTATTTCGGTCTCTAATCAGAGCTTCACAGACGATTCAGTCACGACAACATGGTGTGAAAATGTTCCTTTGTGTGCTTGCGTGTGTCTGTGTGTCTGTGTGTCCCTCCCCTGAGTTCAGTGACAGATAAAAAAAAAAGAGCATGGTACAGCTTTTATTGCATCCCTGGAGAGACCACATGCAAATGGTGGAAAGAACCTGCTCTCTTATACAGAGTGCTGGTGACTTTACACTGGCATTATTATCTGGATATTTAAGCTTCCAGTGCAAAAACAAAACAAAACCCCCAAACAAAAAATAACCTATTTTTTACACTGACATGAAAAAGGTTTGCATATCTCAGGGAAAAATGAGTAGCGGGTGATGTTCATAGGTAAGAAGCTCCAAAAGAAACCTCTCTCTTCTTTTGAGTGGTGTGTTGAAAGCTATACTGGCTGTGCCATATTTTTCATCAGTTCACTGTTTCCAAAGCAGCACTGCAGGGTTTTTGCTGCCTCTATTGTGGTAGAGCTATAATTACAACAAGCCCACCTCTGATGATATTGTATCAGCGGAGAAAAGCAATAAACACTAACATCGCCATTCTAGCAAACACACTCTCAGCACTGATCTGATAGCTGCTCGGGCTCGCTGCAGCTTACTTTGCTGGAGGAGAACTTCTCATTATCAGTGGAGCTGGCACACAGTGCCACGCTGTGTGGCAGGTTTGTTTTTAATCTCCACTGGTCCTGCCCTTCAGAGGCATCTCTGTCCCTGCTCCACGGCCGACTTCTGTAATTACTCTTGCATGTTAACTGATAGGCACAATGCAGCTGCTGCATACAAGATCCCCTTTTTAGGTTCATATGCACACGCTGTAATAAAAAAAAAAATCACGAGTTAACTCCCCAAGAATAATGCTTTTAAAAATGAAGATGCCAAGAAAAGCTGTTGTAGTACATCCAGACATTAACTACATGTTTTTAAAGAAGTGTTTCTTCTTTACAGTATGGGCTTTTTACATATAACACTTCTAATGTTGATGGAGAAAAAACAAAGCTCTTATATTTGGCTATGTCAAATTTCTTATCACAGGGTGTAACTTGTTGTGCAGTACTGCGCTACGAGCTGTTCTGTTTTTCTGGGAATAGCAATTTACTTCATCAGCTCACCACTGCACTCACCTCGCTGTGCTCTGCATAGCGCCCTATTAATCATTTTTCAAACTGAATGCTGTTCCATGCGTCTCTCTCTCTCAGTTTCTGTGTTTCTTCTCTGCTTCCCTCTCTTCACCCCCTAAACCAGGCCCATTTCCCACTGCTGTGATGTGGCCTTAGCCTCTAATAATGTTATTAAGCCTCTTCACAGCCTTTGGCCACCACCCCTACCCTGCTGTGTTCCCACTCTTTCTTCCCATCACCCAGGGAGTTATAAAAGTATGTCTTACCAACCAAAAAGCGACAACACTTGAGAAACCAGCTATCATAGCAAACAGCAAATCTCACGATGAGCCTAGAAATCAGTAGAAATTTTGATCATATGCAATAATAGACGTCTATTAGAATAAAAGCACTGTGTGAGACTTGTAGTAAAAAGGTGCTATGCAACTACCAGTCAATTTAGCAAATAGGGAACACCTGTGAAATTACTGAGTAAGAAGAAATTATCACATCTGTGCTTTAAATTTTGGAAAACAAGCTTTAGACTCATTGCAAACTGGTTACTTCTAGAATATCAAGTATGTGGTCTTTTAGTGTTGACCAAAGAGCATATTATTCTCACTGCAACAAAAAAAGTACAGAGTAAATTAATCAGACATGACAGTCATGAATGCTTTTGTGCAATGAGGGAACAAGAAAAAAAGGCGCTTCCTTTTTTTGCCAGGGTTGGCTGGTTCTCTTGAAAAAATAGGTCAGGTGCTGTATTTACTGGAACATTAAAATAAGAGCAGGTAAAAGGTAACGGTTCTTTCACCTGTTCTCTCACGATTACATTCAGGGATTCCCAGTGCCATTGTCCAGGGCCATATAATACTTACTACACATACTACATGGTCTTGTTTCATCATTCTCTTTTATAGCTGTTATGTTACTTTGCTATGTTTCTCTAACATGTAGTTTTCATTTCTCCAATCTGATTCTTCTTCCCCAGTAAAATCCAGTCTGGTAACAAGCTGGTGCTGGCCATAACCACTGAAGCCTGTCAGGGAAAGGACAACTTTGTCCGCTACCTGGAGCATGTTCAGACTGTAGTCACTGTCAATGCCAGCCGCCGTGGTGACCTCAACATCAACATGACCTCACCAATGGGCACAAAATCCATACTGTTGAGCCGAAGGCCCCGTGATGATGACTCCAAGGTGGGCTTTGACAAGTGGCCCTTCATGACCACGCATACCTGGGGAGAGGACCCCCGTGGGACCTGGGTCCTTGAGGTGGGCTTTCAGGGTGACGAGCCACAGCGAGGGGTCCTGAAGGAGTGGACTCTCATGCTGCACGGAACACAAAGTGCCCCTTATATAGACCAGATAGTACGTGATTATCAGTCCAAACTGGCCATGTCCAAAAAGGAGGAGCTGGAGGAGGAGCTGGATGAGGCTGTAGAGAGAAGTCTGAAGAGTTTGCTCAGTAAAAACAACTAGAATCCCATCTGCATGTTGCCAGCTCACCTATCACCTATCTTCCTTCTGCAGTCTCGCTCTGTCCTTCTCTAAAATTTCACTGCATCTCTTAAGTTCTCCTAAGTCCCTTGTTATCCTCCCTTTGGTCTACCTCCGTTCCTCTCCTGTCTCTGATTTTTGTTATCAGATGTTAAAATTAGCCCCTTCGATGAATGTTTCTTGTAATCCAGTCATGATAAAAGTGTAACCTTCAATAATCTATTCTATAGAGAGAAAACAAACTATATCACTTGGGTTTTTACACTCTACAGAACTGTACATAAAGCAAACACAAGCCACTCTTTCATGCTCTTGCTTTAACTGCCCTACACCTCTCTTCTGCCAAATGTTGTACAGTTTGTGACTGTAAATGATTTTCTGTGCCATTCTACTTAAAGTTTAATATCTTGCAAACAGAGCAGTGCTATTTCTTTCTGTTTATATTTTTGTGACATGCACTGTTTATATAAACATGGAAAGAATGTGTAATTCATTTTGCAGCCTGTAGTCATCAGTTCATATTTCATAATCTTTGATGGACTATAATAAATCTATTCAGCTGTTTATTAAAGCACTTGAGTGATTTGAAATACAGTGAATGCATGTAGAAAACCAGCCATTCTCGGTTACATGATGCTGCCTGTGCTCCACTAAAACTGGAGCACAGGCAGGATCACCGTGGGATAGCAGTCACCCTACTGTAAAACACATCAACAAGTGAAATCGTCTAATCTTTCCCAGGCTTCTTTCATTCTGTATTGTGCTGTTCAATAAACAGAATAACCCCCCTAAAAGGCTCCTTGCCTAGGTACTATAGACACTTCCTTTATTTATAGAAGCAAAATGTAGCACCAATAAATCACTGTCATATAAATTATTTACAGCCTATTGACTGTAACTATTTAAAACAAAGAGGCTTCACTCAGTAAATAAAGTGTTTTCTGGACATATGTTTTAGGATGTAAATAAGGATCGTCTAAAGAGAGCTAAAACACTTACTTTCCTACAAAACAAACTCTTTCAGGATGAAAAATGAGCAGCAGCAAAGAGCAGAAAGTTAGCAATTGTCTGAACTAGCTACCCAGATGCAACCCGAACTAAAAGCAATGTGAATATCAGATATGCATTCATCAGGCTGCCTCATAATCCAAAATGAATGCTAATGCCTGTGCTAATTTCAGTGTGCAGTTCGGTATGTAAGTAAGCAACTGTTGCTCTTAAAATCTAATGTCAGTAAATTGCTTTTACAGCTTACTTCCACTTCCTCTGTTGGGCAGAAATTTTAATCAGTGTTCATGTATGAGGAGAGAATGTGGAAAAAGACCATTACTAGCATGGAGACTTTTAATTATCTCAGCCATTATTCAATCTTACTCAAATAAGTTAGCACAATTAATAGCAGTAATCCAAGTAATATATAAATTTTTATAAAGTGAGATTTCAGACTAATCTGTTCAAATACGTCTTAGAAATCTTCTCTGAAGTGTTTTACATACTCTGTATCATATTTGTCTCCTACAATTGTCTTACATTATGAACAAGGTAAGGTCACATTAGAAAAAATCCCATTATTATTCTTTTTGCTGCAGCCTTTGCAGTAAGACCTTCTAAGCCACTTGTAAATGTTCAAAGGCACCTACAATGTCCAGTAAAAAAGACTTTTATCATATATTAATAGAACGTATAAGGTGCTTGCTACATGTTGGTTATGTGAAGGCAAATACAACAATGTATCAATTGATGTTTGGGTCTTTTTTATTATTAAATATATCAAAGCAAATTAATACACAGCAAAATTGTGCTGAGGGCAGGCAGTGGCATCCAATTGAACAATTGAGCTAAAAAGGGGAAGGTCAGAGTTCTAAGACATAGTTTGAAAAAGGGTGGCCCAGCATTTTGTTTTCAGTTTTTTGTGTTTTTTCTCTCTTTTTATAGGTGGCGCTTTGTTTTTTTTCATTGTTCCAAGTTTTCAGACAGTAAAGGACTCAGCATGAGTATGGGTGAATATCTCGAACAACAACAGCAGTACTTATGGAACCAGCAAAACATATTCTGGACGCAAGACCAGAGACTGCAAGCAAATGGAAGAGCAATGTTTATCAAAGCAGGAATGTCTAGTTGCTCTTTATGTGTGGATGGTCTCCCTAAGAGACAAGAACATTAGAGTTAAAACAGTAGTTTTAGAAACAGTGGTGGTTATGAAGTCCGAGTGTATCAATATTATCTTCCAGCTAGAGAACCTGTCTCATGTAGGGTCCTGGTTTTCTGACCCTTTATGTCAGGTGACATGGTTTCAGTGTTTCTTCTTGCTGGACTTCTCAATCATGGTCTCCACCACCACGGAAGTTTCCTCATAACCTTTAATCTTGCGGCCATTGGCGAACTTTTCCACAGACTCCACAACCTCCACCTTCTCGTAAGTCATGGCATCTGGAGTAAAGCTAGTCGAGCTGGTGCTGGTGCTAGTGCTGGAACTTGAACTGGAGCTGGTGCTGGCACCACGAGGTGCAGGCTTTGGAGTGGGCCCGCTTGGACCGTTGTCATCCCTAGTTTTCTTGGGATGTTTAGCACCTGGGGTGGGATCTTTGGGGCCAGAGCTTGGGCCAGAGGGTGGAGATACTGGTCTTGGCTCCTTTGAGTGAGGTTGAGGCTCTCTATTGTTGTCTTTACCTTTTTCTCCGTTATCCTTTTGTATTCCACCCTTTTTATCCTCCTTTCCTTCTCCTCCAGAGGTGGGCACGGTTGGACTGAGAGGCCTTGGATCTATCATGGGTTGAGGAGGTGGAGGGGATGGTGTGTCACGCCCATAAGGTTCATAGGGAGCCATCATTCCATCTCTGATAGTAACAAAGATGTGGCCAGCTGATGGTGTGGAGGTGTAGAAGCAGGGATCTAGGTAGCTTCCGTCACCGGTGACAAGCACATAACGACCCTTGGTGTAGAAATCAGCGATTGGTTCAGGCTTCTTGTATTTCCTCATTCTTTCTCTGACAATGTTACAGAGAGTGTCAAAGGCTTTGCTAATCTGAGCTCCATCTGGAACATCCTGTGGAGACACTCCACTGAAAGCAGGTCTCTGCTCTTCTCTCTTCACCCCCTCCTCTTGCACCTCCTCAGACTTGACCCCCTTCGTTTCTTCATTTGGACCCTCTCCACTGGCTCTGTTTTCTTCCTCCTGGCCACTATCCATCACATCTTTTGGGGTCAGATCCTTCTTCTTCAGGCCCTTCTTAACCATTATCTTCTGTCGTGGCTTGATACTGGTGATCTCCTGAATAGCCTGTGTGATATCTAGACACAAATGAGGTTTAGGTCAACTAGATATAAATAAATAAAATTTTAAAATGTATACACCAGCACTATTAAATCTTTGTTCATTCTAAATATTATAAGGAAATTGGACACATGTTGGTGTCTCAACTATAACGACTGCGACTGAAACTAGCTGTTTTATGTTTTATGTTCTTGGTGATCTTACCTCTCCCTCTGCTTGATGCAGTAGATCTGGGAGTGTAGCGGTAATTAGGGGTAAGCAGGGTAATGGGAGTGCCAATTATTGCTGAATTCAACCTACAGGAAAGGGAGCAGTAAATTGTTACACAGTGATGTTCTGAACAGTTTTCCTGTGCAGAGGAACCTGATCATTCATATGATTCAAAGTATGAAATAACACATAACACATAAAATGACCTAAATATAGGCAATCTTACATGAAAACAAAAAGCCTTGAGCTGGTAAGGAAGGACACATTTGTTGTCACACGGTGCCATCTGTTGGTGGATTGTGCAGAGAAAATAAACCTACTGAGTGTCACAAGGAGCAAATCTAACCTCCTTCGACGCCTTAGGCCAAGTGACCAAAGGTCTTTCAAGAAAGTGACCCTGGAAGTTATGCTGGCAGTTTTGGCTTTAAGTGTCAAAAAAGCCACAAAGGTGATACATAAAAATACTTGTCCAATTACAAATTACCCATGACAGTATTAATGTTTTACATTTTGAAGTTTTTACACACAATTAAAAGGATATTTTGCAAGATGTACATCAATTTTGTTATGTTTTGAATGTGTTCTATTTTTTCTTTTCTTTTTCCCATCACTTCTCAGCCTGTTAATAAAAACAGCTCCATTGCCAAAGGCTTTCTCATAGAGGGCTCTCTGATTGTTTCTCTCTATTATTGTAGGGTCCTAAGAGAGATCATATTTACAGAAGTGTGCACTGCCTGAATCTATGCTGATCTCAGAAAATTAATTTATTTTTTAAATTTATTATTATTTTTTAAAATTACATTTATTTTAGCTGCTGCAAGACTATGCTCACGCTGACTGTGTGATTAAACCTTTTTAGCCATGTGATAATTTGTTCGTTTAAATGAATTTACTGCTCTGTATCAGATTTACTGGGCGCCAGCAGTATGTGACATTCCTGTTAGTGATCACTCAGTGAAGTGAGCAACTAATGTTCTCATTCAGGTGTGTGCGAGTGTGTCTTTAGGTGTAATAGAAGCAAAGTGGTGTTAGCTTACCTGTTATCTTCATTCTCAATGATCCTCTTGTACCTCTCCAGCTCATTCTCAAGGGATGTCTGATACATTGCCAGGTGGCGACATTCGTTGGTGTACTTCTCCAAGGACCTCTCAGTTTCCTCAATCTCTTTCCGCAGAGATTCGATTTTCTCATTGTACATTTGGATCTCATCGTCATAGCTCTCCTGGGTGTTTTTGATGGCTTGCTCCAACATTGTACTCTGATAGAATAGAAAGAGGCAGAGAAGAATAGACAAGGGTGATTTCAAGGAGAAATTCACGTTAATGGCGGTAATGCAATGTGTCTAAGAAATATTGAGAATGAACTAAATGCCACTGTATGCATCTTTATTATACCTGCAGGATCAAATAGACAGGTATGTAAAGTGCATAACGAAAGCTGACTGAAGATTGTTATTTGTGCATATAGCAGAGGTTTTATATCAAAAGCAATGCAGCCAGATGAAAGAACATGTGCTTTGAAATCAGTGCAGACAATATATTTATTTTTGAGTTATCTGTGCTATTGAAATAAAGCACTGCTGTGTTTCTCTTTCATGAAAGGACACACTACTTTGACAAAACTCTACCTTTTAGCTTATTAATCTTCCATAGCAGGGCCGTTGCTGACACCTACTGGCACATTTGCGGCATCTTTTGCTGTGACATAATGATGCTGTTAGGTGAAAACCTATTTAAAGGGAACCTGTTACCTCCATTTCAAGCTTCGTGTTTCAACTTTTGAATTTTACTAGAATAGCTTTAAAGGATCCTTATTTCTCAGTGCAAAATTTCTCATTTTGCACTTAAAGCGAGAGTTGTATGTATATCTAAGGATGTCCACTGATATGGATATCTTACAGATCCAAGTCTAGAAAAAAAAAGACTGAAACACAATTTATAGAACAGTGGATTGATATATATATACTGAAAAATGCAAACTATTGTAAATAAATTGTATAACAGCCCACTCTATGCATTAGAATGGAAAGGATTGATTAATTAGACAAGGAAATACATACGCAGCACAAAAGCACACAAAATGCAGCTTTTCAAATGTGCAAAGATATCAGAATAAATTCTGATTTTGGAATTTTGGTCTGAGAAAAATCAAATAATGAGCAGTGTGATATTGTAGTCTTTCAGATGTGTATTTTGCAACTGAATAATGTTTGCAGAATTAGACCAAATGAATCATCAGTTAACTCTAAAAGTGAGCTTAGTTACAGCAGCCACTGGGAGTTTGGACTGGTCTTTGTGGAATATAGTTTTCCTCTAATAAAAACACTCTTGGCTCCTTTGAGAAATCCTTTTGTGTGCTTCTATAAATATCAGCTTGGCAATAAAAAAAAAGAGCAAAGGAAATAAAAGAAAAAAGAAAAAACATGATGTAATTAAGGCGAAACCTCCTGTTGTCATGGTGACCCACCTCAGTCTGTAGTCGCTGTTTCTGGGCCTGCAGCTGGCAGAGGGCACTCTTGTATTCCTCCAGCTGACTCTGTAGCACTGGTACTTTTTTTTGGGCCAGCAGCTTCTCCTGCTCCTTCACACATGGAGCACAAATCAGTGAAGACATGCAGACAAATGCAGTGTGTCTCTACAAAATGAAGGTAATACCACACATACTTAGCCAGCAGTAAGGTCTCTCTTCCCGAAGTAAGGAATTTTCAATAAATTTTGTGGCTTTTTATGTTAATTTGAAATGCATTCCTTTTAGATCTAACAGTTTGTAATTTTCAATACTTACTGGCTTTTCTGCTGTTGTCGTTGAAAGTGACATTATTAACATTTGTACATTTTTTTCCAATCCATACTTGAAACGTATCATCAGCTACTGCAGTAAAAGTCTGTACTACTCTGACAATCTGTAATACGTACGGCTGTTCTGCTGTCAATAAAAGGTTAAGCTAAGAGGACGTTTCTGAAATTTACACTTTTTAGGTCATCTTAAACTAAAGGCTGCAAGTAGAAATAAAGATAAATTGGGATCTGATAAATGTTCATAGTTACTCACATTACATTCATGGCAAGGCATTCAAACAGCTGGCAGGTCAGTTAGTCAAATACAGTATACAGAGATCAGCTTGGCTCACAATGTGCCCAGAATGGGTTTTTTTTTTTAATCTTGCCTGAAAGATAGAGACAGTCACATCTGCATCACTGAAGTCACAAGCTGGTGTGCTTCTCTGTCCTTTAAAAGGCATCCATTTATAAGACTGAAATAGCTTAATTGTTATTATATAGCTTAAAGGTTTAGAGAAATACGTTTATTTCATTTTTTCCATTCAAAACAACTAAAAAGAAACCAAGAAACATACAAAACACTTCACATGTACTTTAAACTAATTACTGCTACCAATAAATATTATTAAAGTTTTGTTGAGGAGAAGTGATGTCTCACAATTTTCTCAAAAAATGGCCATGCAAATATTTCTCTGAAAAGACATGCTTTGAGTTCTAGAGCTCAAGATGACATGAAAGACAACATAAATACAATGTGACATATTAAAGTCTTACTGGGCAAACTGGTAGTTTCAGTAATCTGCAGTATATATGTATTTGATGTTCTTGAAACCTCCCTGTAGGGTGACTATACCCCAAAGAATACCCTCATTTATCTTTTTCAGAAGAAAGAATACCCCCATTTCAACCCAGTTAAATATAATAGACTAGACTAGAGTGTAGAATAAAATAAAACACCCCTTTATTGTCATTGTACATGTGCAACAAAATTATATCTAGCAATTCAAAGTGGTCTGTCAATTCCAAAGGCCACACAGTTTCCATTTTCATCAGCAATCAGTGTCCTCCTTTGTCTTTTGTGGAAACATCTGGAACTGCCACACATGCACAAGTCATGCCCACTTGCTTACACTTTATTTTCCACTGGATGTCAGCTCAGCACAGCAGAGCCAAGAGTTGTGGCTCTTTGTTAGTACCCGCAGAGACTTAATCCAACCAATTAAACAATTTCTGCATTTAGAGTCAACATGCCTCTGAGAAATGTTTATATAAATAAATCTCCAATTTGCCACACAAACGCTTGTCACTGTGGCGCCGCTACTAGAAAATTAGCATGCACAGCCGTTCTTCACAGCATTTGCTTCATTATGTGCCCTGACACTCTCATACTGCAGGCTTGTCAATGTGTCTGGATGGCACTGTGACTGTCTCTCTCCTGTGCTTTCTGCACATGCACTCACACACGTATACAAAAACAGATGCAGTCACAGGCAACCAATTGGACAGAGAAGCCAGTAACCTCATCAACCCCAGACATGTAGCCGGGGCTGGCACACATGCAAACACCATCTTCTCCCCCAGGGAGGGCCATGCACACTCACACACACACACACAATGACAGCATTAGTGACCTCACCTCGGAGATGCCAACTGACACATTGGGAACAAGGGGGAGCGTCTGGTTGATTTGCTTTAAAATGTTTACATAGGTTTGGATCTCTGCGAGGTTCTATGGAGAGAAAGACAATATAAAAGGAAAGTTTTAGTAAGAAAACTATGCAAAAGTAGAATGAAAATAAAAATAATAAATCTGTAACTCTTCCATTTTGTAGACTAAAATCTTCAGCTAACAAACCTTTCTCTTTTCTTTATCACAATCTATTGAAAATCAGCTGAAAATGAAATTTTTGATAAAAGGCTTTCATTTAGCTGAAATGTATTTATAAATGGCACAACATTTACTTCGAGCATGGCCGAGACTTTCTGTCCAAATCCTTTTGTAATAGGCTGAGCTCAGAGTCTTTCCACAAGGATACTTCAAAGCTCGAGACCACAAGCCCAATATTCATGTGAGAGGACTCTATTATTTCTGACATAATACACTGACAGTAGTGCCCATTGATCTGCTCATGATCTCAGTATTGCAGAGTCATGTATTAATTCATTACCAAACTGGGTGAAAGTAAAAAGGAGAGAAAATGCTTAGGCATGAAATTCTGTGCAAAGTATGCTGTTTTGTTTTGTTTCAGTGTTTTTGCACCCATTGTTTTGGACCTTCTAGCTATTGCTACATCACAAAAGAGGGTCTATTTTTATTTTTTCTATGTGCTTTGCAGTCATATGATGAGCATTTTCTGAGCAATACTTTCCGCGCTCACATCACCGACAGTAAATTCACAAATCCCCAGGAACATCATAATATATCCACTGGCAATAATTTCAAGGATTTGAGTCACAACAAAGAGTTGCAGCCTGAGGTGGGCTGCCTGGTCAAAAGGAACAGGACTGAGTGGGGAATAGGCAATAAATCGAGACCAAAAAAACTCTCTTGAGTTTATTTATGTTGTCAAAAAACAATTTCAAGATGCCAGAGCGTAATTAAACACTGAAAGGGGGTTATTATGTGAGCGCTCTTTGTTTGTAGTTGATAAAAAAAATTGTGTTTTATAGAGTTTTAACCATTTTAATCGATGTTTTAAAGACACATGGCATAAACAAGCAGAGCATTTTTAGAGAAACCTCTAATCCACGTCATTACAGCATTTGCTTATTTTCCCTTTGAATTTGCATAATTTGTTACTGCAAATGAGTTTTGAAGGAAACTTGCACAAAGCACAACAATGACTTTGCCTTTTTTCTACGTTTTCTTTTTTTCAGCAGTATAATATCTGCTGATAGCAACTAAAGTATTAGCATTGCTAATTATGAACCCTAAACACGAGTTAGGTCATGATAATCTCGTGTAAATATGCAGAAAAAAGTCCATGTTATTCTAGTAATGTTTAATAAAGTAGTGCTTTTGCAGACTACATTTAGCCTCAGGAGAATCTGGTGCGCTGTAAATCTTTCAAGTAGCAATCATAGTATTCAATCAAGATCTGTCTAGAAAAGATATTGCCATGTATATAAAAAAGGAGATAAATATGAAATAGAATATAGTAATCTTGGTGACTTAGGCAAACATGCTTCATTGCTATGTCGCTATGATGGCTGTTAATACTATTCACTGCCAGGATAGAAGTCAGATCTCAGTGAGCTCTTACTGCCTTCTTGCTGAGAATACTTCATGTATGATTAAATAAGATCTTAAGAGGATTAGTAGTTAGCAAAGCTCAATAAGTAATTTCCTTTTTTTGGTTTATGTTAACTTTGATCATTTTCCATTAGAGTACTGACCTTCTTGTGTCTGTCTCTGGTGGAACTGATGTCATCCTGCAGAAACTGAGACTGGATCTGGTACTCCAGGTTTCTCAGCAGAGCGCTGTCAGCCTCCTGCAGGTAAAAGGACCCAAGAGAGGAAAAAATAATTGAGTGCCACAATGTTATTTTTTTTTCTTTAACAAAAACATCAGTGGCAGACTGCATTCAAATAACAATGAAGAAAATTCTCTACTGTCCCACAAAGTGTCATAGTGGTAGCGCTCTGGTATTTTCAATCTAAATGAATTATATCTGATCCTTTATACTGATTTTTTTTTTCAGATGAAATATCTTTTCATTGTGGTTCTGCTTTTCGTCAATTTTTAAAATACAGAAGAATGCATTGGAAAAAAGGCAAACTTTAATTTTTCCAAAATATCATCAGCGAAGGTTTTTATATTTTTACTTACACATGCTCCACACTTAAATGTTAGAGAGTAACAGTGCACATTTACTGAAACGCAGTCATAAATGTCCTTTTGTAGGGGTGCTTAAACAAACATAGCTTTAACTATAGATATTACCTTGTTTAACTGTTCCAGTGTGCCTCGAAGCTGCTCCTGATAATCACATTCATTTCTGTATCTGAATGACAAAAGAACTCATTTATGTGTTCATATAAAGCCAGAGTGCAGTGATTACACTATATACCACCACATTATTTATATATAATGCCCTGCTGACATGGTAAGCTCACAGTGAGAAGGGATAGCTGAACAAACTCTGTTGTATTTGTAATGTTTCAGAGTAAAAAAATCCCGATTATACATGCTGAAATCCACCTGCCTTTATCTGCTAATTCAACCAAAGCTGGTTAATGTTATTCTTAACTGATCCATAATGCAGCAAGACTGCCTGCAGATAAATGATTACAAGGCCTTTCTAGACAGTTCCAATTAATCAACTGATTCACCTTATTTACAAAAGAAATATCTCGCTCTCTCCCTCCCCCTTGTTTTCCTAATAGTATACTGGAGCCATGGATATACTTCGGGCTTTACTTCACAAACATTTGAGACTTTTCCTTATGACCCTGGAGTGGATAAGCATTAGAAAATGGGTGGATGGATATTTGCTTGTGTTGCTTTTTTGTTATGGGTAAAAGAAAAAAAGTATATAAAAGTATATAATCTGATTCCTTTATACAGTTCGCGGCATTATCACAATTTAATGTCTAACATTGTGTTTTATAATTACTAGTGACACAGTATAGCACATATGATTTAAACCATTTATAACAAATTTTCCTGACTGCCGTATTCCAATTCTTGCTTATAGAATAGGATCATTTGAAGGCTTTTTTTTAAAATGCCACGCTTCTTGCAACAATTGTCATCATCATCTTAGTATTGGGTTCATTAGCATTTTAATGACATTTCTATAGTAACGACATTTTTCTCATTACTCCATATCTGAGGAAGAAGTTTGACTCCTTACGCACATAAAACACCAGCCACTACCCACTCTCTTACTTGTTGGTATATTCATCCAGCATGCGGCAAGCATCCTTCAGCTCCCGCTGCAGCTTGGCATGGTCGGAGAACAGCTCTCGAATGCGCTGCCTGTTGACTTCAATCTGCTCTGTGAAGGCTTCCTCCAAGCCGCTGGCCTCTTCCATTCGCTGCAGTGTCTCCAGCTGCTTGCGGAACACGGCATTGCGCTGCTCTAAGACTCTTGCCCTGTTGATGTACCGGGCAAAACGGCTGTTGAGCTCCTGGAGGCTCTCCCAGCCCTGGATGGCTGAGATACCTGCAGATTCTTCAGCATCATCCTCAAAGATATCCGAGCGCTCATACTTTTCCTTGTGCACCTCATGCCGGTAGCTTGTCTTAAACATGATGGCACGCTTCTCTCCCGTGGGCTGGTGGTATTCCCGGAGTGCTTGGTCCACCTTAGCACCTTTAATGTGTGAAAACTTGGTTGCTCACCCTTGGCTGTCTCATGCTAGACTGAGCGCTGCACAGTAGTGGCTGATGGCGAAATAGCCCCCCAAACCACCCTCTGGCTGTTGCCATGCATGCTTTGATCCTGGGGGCTTCCAGAGATTATTGTTGCCTTTGTGGCAGAAAGTAGAAAAGCAATACTGTTGATGACAAAGCAAAACCACAAAGAAAACACAAATGGCCAGCCCACGAAAGCACTGGGATGTCACATACCATTGTTTTGGTTCTTAGTCAGCTGCTTTCTAGATCCCTGGCAGCGTGGATATTGGCACACCACAGGACACAGGGGAAATTTCATGTAGTGCAGTTTGTGGGAGGTGTGGAGAACAATTCCTGCCGAAAGTGGCTACTTGTTGATACTCATTCTGCTTATGTTTATATTTACAAGTTGGTATTGATTCTGTTTTTGTTTATAACCTCAAAGGTATTGCACAACAAATGTATTAACATTCACGCAATTACAGCAGCCATGTGAGTAGATACAGAGATATCCAGTATAGTCAATTGTTCAAAGTCAAAGTCAAATTTATTTATATAGCACATTTAAAACAACAAATGTTGACCAAGGTGCTGTACAATTAAGATAATCAAAAGAAATAAAAACATACACAGACATGATAAAAGTTAAGAAAAAGAATCATAAAATTAAAAGATTTGAGTAAGAAGTAAGATAAATAAAAGTAATACAAACTTATTCTGATTTAAAAGTCATGGAGTAAAAGTGGGTTTTCAGACAGGTTTTAAAAGTGTCCAATGTTGGTGAGGTCCTGATGTGAAGGGGAAGTTTGTTCCGCAATTTAGGAGCAGCAAAGGCCCGATCTCCTCTGTGCTTAAATCTGGACCTCGGGACAGGCAGGAGCAATTGATCCGCAGACCTCAGTGATCTTGCAGGAGTAATTGGCCTTTATTTGTATAACACTTTACTTAGTCCCTAAGGACCCCAAAGTGCTTTACACTACATTCAGTCATTCACCCATTCACGCACACATTCACACATTGGTGATGGCAAGCTACATTGGAGTGTACCAATTTAAAAGATCAGAAAGGTATGAGGGTGCTAACCCGTGCAACGCCTTAAAAATAAATAATAAAATCTTAAAATTAATTCTAAAACTAACTGGCAGCCAGTGTAATGATGCCAGTATGGGGGATATGTGGCCTCGCTTGCATGTGCCAGTTAGTAATCATGATGCAGATGGCTAATTGATGACAGACTAACTTCAGAGTGAAGACTATTACAGTAGTCGAGGCGAGATGAAATGAAGCCATGGATAGCTCTTTCAAAGTCTCTAAAATAGAGAAATGGCTTCACTTTAGCAAGTAGCCAACGGTTAAGGAAACTGGTCTTGATTACAGCATTAATCTGTTTGTCAAACGTTAGATTAGAGTCAAAAATCACTCCTAGGTTCCTCGCAAAAGGTTGTTAATAATGGGTTTTTATTAATTTCCAATAGAAGCAATAAATACAAGAACCATGACATAACTGAAATAAGTCCTGACCTAACCACATACAACTTTTCTTTTAATGTTGTACTTGCACATTGTGTTATTTGTTTTAACTTCAAATCAAATTGCAGAGCTCAGTCAAGTGAAAAGTAAAGTAGAATCTCTGTGTTTTGCTGAAAAGATGGCTCTGAAGCAGAAACATGACAATTTGCTATTAATGAAATGAAAGCCCCTGTCCGCTTTAAAATTCGATTCTTTCTCATGCACTTATTGTGATATTTAGCAGAGCTTTTTATGTCCAACTTGTTACAGTAAGTTGTACTTCGCCAGTGAACCACAATTGTAAAATTACAGCAGTGCAAACTGTGCATTTCATTGTCACTGAAACATGCATGTGTTAATTTGGTAATGTGGAAAATGTTGGTTGTTTTTATATTTGATTCTAATCTGCTGCTAAGTTTGTTTTAATTAAAGTGCCGCAATTGCAAACACACCCCAAGAATTCTTATTCGTTCAGTATAATTTCACTATGATCTGCTGACAAACTAAAGTGATTTCCATGTCTCTGTTAGGCTATGAGACGGTAACATTTAATGTTTAAATGCGTGCAGTTTAAACTTTCAGAGCTCTAATGTGCATCCATTGTGGCAGAAATAAACAGCAGCACTGAGAATGCACTCAGCAATAAAATAACTCAAATTAAAATGTTTATTTTTCCTCTCTGTGCGCTAAATCCCCAAATTAATAATTTTTCGACAGTATTATTTCCTGTCTTATTTGCAACAGTGTTGCAAATGGTCTTTATAGACTTTTATCGCCATTTTACCATTGTGATGTGATAATGTCTCTAGTGGAGTAGGCAGCGCTCAAAAGCATCACATTGTGCACAAGATGAGTCATATGAGGCATGAATCCCCCCCTTCATCTGAATACACACACAGAGATACACACAGAAAGCCTGGCTTAACAGAGAACGCTGAAAACTATGATACCTGATATATAGAGTCTCTCCAGGAAAATTCGTCCAAGGTTTTAGTAATACAAATTAAAGTCTCTAGTTTATTACTCTTTCCTGTATCATCACTCTTCTATTCACACATATTGTCACACAGTATGTGTGACAATTTGTGTCACACAGAGAATTTAGATTTGGGTACATGGAAATTGCTTGTGGAGTCCCCTAAGGGTCAGTAGTGGGCCCCCAGTCTATTTTATATATATGTATATATGTACATATGTATATTTTGTATACATGTATACATATGATCCAAATAAATGATCAACCAATCAATCACTCAATCTCTTATAATAATTAATATTAACTACATAAATTATTATTATAAATTCTTTTTCACCAAAATGTTGAGGAAACGTTTAATTTCCCATACACGACATCCAGTAATAGTCCCAGGGGTAAAGGCTGCTCAAGCATATTTGAGTTTTTAAAGCATTATCAAAACCTCGTAAAGACTGTGCAAAATATTTGTTCTGGAGATGTAGATTACGAGGTAATTCAGTTTTGTCCCCAAATAATCTGGAAAATTAATAATTTAATTGAATTCGTTTTTGTGTCATATCTGCTTTTTTTTAGAAATGAATGGCAGAGCTAAGAGCTTACTGAGCGGATAAATCAATATACTAACGTATGAATTCACAAGACTGATGATTTTGTGATGCAGTTCTCCCATTCCATATTTGCAGCAACAATGGTTGCCTTTTGTTATATTTTTTATATTCTTTATGTGTCTCTAACACCTGTGTCTCATATTGTCTCTGGCAGTAGCAGGTGGCACTCAATTGATCCATTTTCACCAAAAAACAAATCAAATGAAGCAGAAAATTCATCATTTTTGCCTCAAGCAGAAAGTCTTGGTCGGCAAAGACAGTTGATAATCACTGTTGTGATACCTATTATCACCAGTGGTTGTTTTTTGGCTTCACCTTTGTTGTTGTTTCATTTCACCTTTACTTCATAGTACACCATTCTAGCATGCTGGCATCAGTATGTAAATTTCAGCCATGTGCTTAGGATCACCATCCTGCTGAAAGGTACAACTCTAGCTATAAAGACAGCGTTATTTTATTCTCAAACACAATGCAGAAAATTGTCCAGTCTCTTGTAATAACCTTAACAAACATATGCTTACAACAAGCATATGCCAAGCACTCTGGAAGCTTCCATGTAGCTGAGAGGTTTAGGCTGAGAGTAACCTCAACCAAAGACTAAAGTCTGAAAACTTCAGCCACCATATTTCACACTTGCTGTGAGTTCTCCTGGGAAGCAGTCTTTAGTCAACCATGTCTACTGCTATTATAAGCAAGCAATAAAAGGATTCAGATGTCCAGAATAAATGTTTCTTGAAGGCATAGTGTTTGCTTTTATGTTCACTCAAACACATTAGTTTTCCTCTGGCTTTCTTTCGGACAGCAGAAGCTTTGCCGGGCACATTTCTCTTGGAAGTTAAATTTGTGCAATTTGTGCTGCAAGAAATACTTGCAGTGTTCTTAGAGATTTATTGTTTGCATCAAATGATTGACAATAGGGTGACTTATTTCAATATTTTCCACTCCCTTTGACTCCAGGGGTTTTATTTCACTGATTACAATTTGACATGATAAACATGACTACAGTATGTCGGTTTTATGTATGATCTGTTTTAGTATTCCATCTTTATCTGTAGGCAGCGTTTCAAAGAAATGTTTTTTTTAAAGCAATTTCCTTTTTATTTATTTTTTTACATTACATCACTACATAAGATAAGATAAGATAAGATAGATAAGATAGATAAGATAACCTTTATTAGTCCCACACGTGGGAAATTTGTTTTGTCACAGCAGGAAGTGGACAGTGCAAAAGTTATATAGCAAAAAATTAGAATATAATAAGAATAAATACAGTACACAACTGTACAGAATAGAATAAAATAAAATAGGCCTACTATATACAGTAGAATAAAATAGAATAAAATATACAATAGGATAAAAATAGAATACAAATTCTATATACAACTGAGTAAAAATACAACTTTGTCAGAAAAGAATATTGCACTTAGTTTTATTGCACATGTGTGGGTTTGTGTGTGTTTGATCAGTTGACGTTTTTGTTGTAGAGTCTGACAGCAGTAGGGAGGAAAGACCTGCGAAATCTCTCCGTCCCACACCGTGGGTGCCGCAGCCTGCCACTAAAGAAGCTGCTCAGTGCTGTCAGAGTCTGCTGCATGGGGTGGGAGATGTTGTCCAACAGGGATGACAACTTAGCCACCATTCTCCTGTCACTCATCACCTCCACTGGGTTCAGAGGGCATCCTAGAACAGAGCTGGCCCTGCGGATCAGCCTGTTCAGTCTCTTCCTGTTCCCAGCAGAGATGCTGCCACCCCAGCAGACCACACCATAAAAGATGGCTGAGGCCACAACAGAGTCATAGAAGGTCTTCAGGAGTGGGCCCTCCATTCCAAAAGATCTGAGTCTCCGCAGCAGGTACAGCCTGCTCTGACCCTTCCTGTAGAGGGCGTCTGAATTATGAGACCAGTCCAGTTTGTTGTTCAGATGAACACCAAGGTACCTGTAGCTGTCCACAGCCTCAGTGTCCATACCTTGGATGTTCAATGGTTGCAGTGGAGGATGTTTGTGCCTGCAAAAGTCTACCACCAGCTCCTTGATTTTACTGGTGTTAATCTGGAGGTAGTTCAGCTGGCACCAGTCCACAAAGTCTTGTGTCAGTTCTCTGTACTCCTTGTCGTCCCCATCAGTGAATAGGCCGACTATTGCAGAGTCATCAGATAACTTCTGCAGGAAGCACTGGGTGGAGTTGTGGGAGAAGTCTGCAGTGTAGATGGTGAAAAGGAATGGAGCCAGAACCGTTCCCTGTGGGGCCCCCGTACTGCAGACGACCCTGTCCGACACACAGCCCTGAGTTCTCACATACTGTGGTCGGTCGGTGAGGTAGTCCAAAATCCAGGTAGTGAGGTGATGGTCCACTCCAGAGTTCTCCAGCTTGTCCTTCAGGACTGTGGGAAGAATAGTGTTGAAGGCACTGGTGAAATCAAAGAACACGATTCTCATAGTGCTTCCAGTGGTCTCCAGGTGAGCGAGGGAATGACGCACGAGGTGAATGACGGCATCATCCGCACCAATGCCAGGCTGGTAGGCAAACTGAAGTGGGTCCAATGATGAGCTCACCAGGTGCCGAAGCTGAGCCAGGACCAGCTGCTCCAGGGTCTTCATCAGGGTCTTCATACATAATGTAGAAAAGACTATTGCATATGTCAACATATATAAATATATATATATATATATTTTTTCTCTTTCAAACAAAAGTCACTGAGATTAGATTGTGAAATTGTCTTTTCCACATACTGAACTGTAGCACTACAACAAATGTTCACTGACATTAAAGGGCACCCTAACATGTTGCCTGTTAAACAAAGCTCATTTAGACCTCATTTAGAAAGTTTGTTTCTTTCCTACAATCAGCATTGTAAGAGGGACTCCTACTAGCAGATCAATACAACCTGTTTCCTGCATAAGCAAAGAAAGACAACTGGACATCTAATAACTTGTTTACACACAACTTCACACATAGAGATAATGAATGACTGAGAAGGAAACAGAAAACTACCTATGCCAGGCCAATGAAGGGACTTGTAAATGTGTTCCGTTGTCCTTGACAGAACCAACATTTTTAACAAACAGCTTCTGTTCCAATTCAAAACCCCTGAAATATATTTATATGCATTCTGATTCATTTGCTGTTTATTCCCTGAAAACACTGTAACCAATAAAGATTATTTCCAATCCGTCCACCTACATGTAGAAACCACAGATTAAAGGTCTTGTGCATATTATTCATGGCTGAGGAGAGAAAAGCAGGTTCTCCTTGTTCTCTTTTCTATCTATTTTCTCTGGTTACGAGAAGCAATAAATCTGGGGCCTGGGTGAGATTATAGAGCTGCCCTTAGCTGGAAATGAAAGCTTGGTGTTTATCCTGCTGGTCAAGCCTCCTGGGTTACACAGCAAGGCAGAGCAAGTGGCTAATATTTAGAGGGTAATAAAAACTAATAGGAACATGCAAAGACAGTTCTTTCATCTCAGGTGAACAGGAGTGTAGATGTAGTGTTGTTCAAAAAAAGAAAAGTCTATAACAGGAGTAGGTGTCTGCTGTTTCACTTGTGTCTTTGTTATCCATTCTTAGGTTTAAAATGCACTTGTAGTTGCCAACTGGCTACGTTCAGTGGGAGAGGATACCAAAAGGCATTTTGAGGCTACGGAAATATGATTGTCAGAGGTATTGTAAGCAACAGCAGCCTTGAGCCTTAAAAGTCAACAGTGCTGCTGTCTGCGTGTATTCATCTGAGTTCAGGATGGCTGATCACAGACAAACAGTGCTCAAAGTATTGTTTGTCTGTTTGTGTGTTTGTGTTTGTGTCTGGTTTCCCAAACTGTACCAAGTTGTTATTGTCAATAGTAAACATGTGATTGAATGCAAAACATGAATTGTGTTTGTAGGTGTGTGTGCGTGCGTGTGTGTGTGTGTGTGTGTGTACAACTGCACAGAAGAAGGCAGAGTTTCATCAGTCAAATAGCGGAATAGTGTGTTCAGTGAACGTTTTCAGGTATTGACATTCTACAAAGCAGATCATACATAGAATTAATCAGAAACGTCATACAGTCTAATCAGACTGTTTATATAAGGTTCGAATCATATTTATAGCTTCTCTCGACCCCTCAAAAAATTTGACAACACTACAAGTGAAACACGGTCTTTAACACAAGCAGCAAAGCAATAACACAAAACCAAAACGTGCTGCTATTACAGATACCCTGACTCATCTGCATACTTGTTAATGAACAGACCAATCAGAATATTTCAAAAGTGCTTTCAGTGAATTTTTCTAGGTTCTGCTATATCACAAAGACAATACCATGCATCAGAATAATGGTGGGATTTGTGAACATTTAATGAGCAATGCTAACTGCCAGAACACTAGAGTTGTCTAATTCTTGGAGTTAAGAGATAAGCAACATTAATTTTTCTTCCATTCTGTATGGAAGTTTTTTTGGTCCTGCACTGAATACCTACAGAGCCTTCACCATAATGGGAAGCATCATAGAGTTTATTTGTGCTTGTGTATGATTTGTGCATTGTGCTGCCATCACAAGTAAATCTGAACTAATCATTATAGACTATGAGCTATTTAATCTTGAACAATTTACTTTTACTGAAATGCAGAAAAGAAAAATTAATACTGGACCAGCTGTGTGGATGAAAGAACTATGGAAATGAGAACACAGCATAGCTCTACACTGGAAGAATACTAGGTATTGCATAAGCATTCTGAGAAAGACAGACAATGACAGCTTATTACATTTTATGGAGCAACTTAGTATTAACCAATATATTGTGATATACTACTATAAGGTTAGAAGTGAAGCAGCTATTTTAAATCAAGCTTTAAATTTACACTGTTGCAAGTAAGACCCAGCGAGTGGTGCACAGCATAAATTTGCAATATGTTGTTGAAAAACTGACAAAAAAAAAGGCTGTAGGCTAGTCTTTAGCTAAACTTTAGGTTAGCTGAATTTAAATCCTTTCTGCAAAGCAAAGCATTATTATTTTATTTTCTGGAATCCCTTCTTTTCTCTGTTCTTCCTCTATATTACAATACATGCAAATTAAAATGCAGCTTGCAACAATGTCATAAATTGGTGATGTGATTTGAAGATAAGTAGACATGATGTCACCACACCCGAGACTTGGGAAAGAACATGTTCATAACCAAATAAATAAATATATAAATTTGCTGTGGGTTAGAAGTGTCAAAGGTGGTGGGCTTTGCTTTCAAAAGGTCAGCATAGGGTCAAAGCCAAACTCTGAGCAGAAAACCACATAGCTACTCTCTTTATCTAATATAATGGCTCTGTTCTGTGTGGTGTCACTGACTTGCGTGCCTAAAACCCTGCCAGCCAGAAAAGAAAAAGAAAAGGAAGAAGAATAAACTGTTGCATAAAACCAATCTTGCACCAAATTAACTAATTAACTGGTATCCACCCTAGAGCAGCAGCACCAGAAAAGGAAAGTCATACTGGATGTGTATGTAGCAACTGTTTGCAGACAAGTTCACTACAATTATTTTTCCAACTTACTAAATATGCATGAGCTAACCCTTCCTCCCACGGGAGGAAAATCACGCATTTTGAGTGAGATTCAGTCGGGAGTTAATCATCTGTATAAACCACAGTGTGGCGCGATGAACAACACAACACACAAAAGGTGAAGGGACTCTCTGTTCTGTATGGTGTGATGCCTAAAGCCTCACCGTATCTATTTTCTTTTTTAACCATTTAGTCTTATATTAAATGTTAGCTTAGATAAACATCCTATCTATGCCAAGCTGCGCATTTATGGACGTCTATTAAACTGGTAAACTTTCAGGTATAATTCACACATACATACACTGACACCCACCCCCTTTTTTCACTCCGCCCGAAAGACGAGTGTGGTTTCCTCACTGCGCCTCCTCGTCAGATTTATCACTTGGAGCTGAGGAGAACCAGACGCAACTTTTCCTTGTGAAGAAGTGCCGAAGGACAGAGAAGCAGTCGTCACATCAGCACGCACAGTTTAATCAGTGAGCAGCAAAGCTGAGACCTTGCGTCTCCACCGGCTGGATTGTCCGTTAACAACCACTTTCAGCTTGCGCTCACACCTCACTAAGAGCGGGTAATTAAACTTTGTTTATTTATTCTTTTATCCTAAACTTTAAAAACACGGAACATTTATCAATGTTTGCTGGTAAGTGCCTGAAATATTATTTCAATTTCACGCTGAATTTCATCTATATATTTCTGCTTTTTTCGGGGGGGGGGGGGGGGGGGGCTCTTTTTTTTCCAATGACAGCAATAAGTAACGCTCCTATGAATTGATTTGTATGGTTCTTATTAGAAAAAAATTTCATTCTACTTTTTTGTATCATTCTCCCTGCTTTCTCTCACATTATATTGTGCGCTGTTTTGGGTCAGTCGGGTTAATTGCATTGCACTAGCTTATCACTACAAATCCGTTTTTATCCTGTTAAAATGTGCCCTTTTTCCTGCGATGGGTTGCCATATTTAGTGTTTCTTACCTCATGTGCAGGGGCATTAAAGTGATAAATTTTGCAAGAAATAAAGGGCACTGTCATCAGGATCAGCCTTGTCTGTTATGTTGGTTTGCAGTAAAGTGACAAGGTCCTAATAAATCACATAAAATCACCGAGTAGATGTCTTTACCCACACACATATTCATCAGGAAAAAATCAAAGACATGTCACACTTGCCAACACGATTAAGCGTGAAACATTGCGATCATGTAATTTGTTGTGATCATATCTTGTTGCCATGAATGTGACCCTGCATGAGTAATGCTGAGTTGGGAAATGTCTTTTCCAGGTGAAGATGTCCTTTTGTTTCCAAAGAAGACGCAGCATGCTGAAATACTTTATCTTCACGCAAACATCTTAGCTCTGGAATGCATTATGTACCACAAAGTATGAACATTTAATACCTAATTTATTGGATCAAGTTGTTCTCAATTTAAAAACCAAACAAACCCAAAGAAAGAAGGATTTTCTGCTAAGATATGGGGGAGTCAAATATCAGCCTTGTGGTAGGACCTTCTAGAGAGATGCAGGAAAATGTCAGAGAAGGCAAGCTGGATCATTACATGGACAACTATGACATGGACTATGGCATCCCTCCAGATGAGATCCCCGATACCACACAGGGTCAAGCCTTCTTTGTTGCCACCATTGTTATCGGTGTGGTCCTTGTCTGCATCATGCTTGTTTGTGGATTGGGAAACTTCATATTCATTGCCACACTGACAAGATACAAAAAACTCAGAAATCTAACCAACCTGCTCATTGCTAATTTGGCCATCTCCGACTTCATTGTGGCAGTCGTTTGTTGCCCATTCTTGGTGGACTACTACGTGGTTAAGCAGCTTTCCTGGGATCATGGATTGGTGCTCTGTGCCTCTGTGAACTATCTCCGTACTGTGTCACTCTACGTGTCGACAAACGCATTGCTTGCCATTGCAGTTGACAGGTGAGTTTCTCAATCTTTTCATTTGTCTGTATGTCTGTGAGTGAGTCTGCATGGGTGTGCAATTAGATTCAGTTCTTTTTATTTGAAAAAAATATTTCATTTTTGTGTATAAAGTGTATAGAGATTATATAACTTGGAAAACTTTGAAAACTGTACACTGCTTTATTCAGCTGTAATGGGATATATGAAAACTCTGTGCAATTCTTTGTCTTTGTCTTTTGAACTTGAGGTCTTTACTTCACTTGAAAACAACATAGTATGTTTCTCTGAGTGATAGAGCCAAGAGCTTATGATGAGTGTTTGAATGCAGAGGTATCAACCCAAAAGAAAAATACAGATATGCTTAATAACAAAAAATGAGAGTCTTTATTGGGCTGTTTAAAGAAGTCTGCAAGCATAATCCAACAGGGAAAAAGCATAAATACAAAAACAAGGATCAGTAAGTTGCCTGAATCACACCAGTTGGTCCCTATTTGGAAGAGTAGCAGGTTTACTTTGAGCTCCTTGCAAATGACCAAGCTTCTCATCCTATATCTAAGGTAGAGTCAGCCACCCTTCACAGGAAGCATTTTTTTAGTTTTGCAACTGTGATCTTTTTCTTCCATTCACTAACCACAGCAAGTGACTATGGGTGATGGTGGAAATGTGGATGGACAGTTAATATACAGCTTTGCTTTCATGTTCTCTTCATTATCACAGACAGGTACAGCATCTACATTACTTCAGATGCTGCACCAATACATGTCTCATTCCCTGGCTCTCTCCTTTCTTCATTCTTGAACAAGGCCTCACGATACTTGAACTTCACTTTGGGCAGCAACTCATTCCCAACATGGAGTGGGCATGCAGCCTTTTTCTGCCAGAAAACCATGTCCTCAGATTTGGAGGTATTAGCTAGTTTAGTTTCACTTCTCAACCACCTCAATGTAAGCTGCAGGCCATCATTTGATGAAGCCAACAGAAAGACATAATTTGCAAAAGGCAGATATGAGATTCTAAGACTACCAAATCTGGCCATGTGAATCAGGTAGTCAAAGGCAGAGGCTTGGTCTCATCCCCAGTTGTTGAAACAGGTTCTTGGGATATGGAATGTTATTGCTGTGGTGGGGAAGTAACCTGAGCTAGTGATTGAGGTGTTACCACCGATATATTGCCATGCTTGCCTCAATGAGCAGCTTGGGTTCTGGAGCTAGTCTCCTGCAGAGAAGCTGAACTCTGGAGCTGTCCAGAGTGGGGAGGGCAATGAGCCAAGCCAGTATACTTATATCCCACCCTGCTCAGTGCAGTATTCCTCAGAGTTGCTTTCTTCTGCCTTTGGACAGGGGAACAGATCCCAGCTTTTGTTTGTGCTCACAAATCAAATGGCAGTTCAGAGACCTTGGCCATCTTGGAGCTCATAGGTGGGAGATCTTTATCTCATCTGTTGCAGAGGTGGGAAATCTTCACCTCTGGCAGAACTTGGGCAGCATTCTGATGTAGGCTAGGGACACCGTCTCAATGAATCATGTTCTGCTCCTCCACTGCAAGGAATTGTGGCTGTTGCTTCCTAGTGGCAATTCTCAAACCAAATTATGTGTCACGGCGAGTGAGAAGAGCCGTGTGGAAGAAATGAAGGAGGATCCAAGCGCAGGCAGTCGTGAAGGTGTGAAGGTGGTTTATTGAATAAATGGCAAAGGAAAAATGGCAAATGAAGACAAACTAAACTATACTGGAAAACAACTGAACTACAGCGCAGAAACCAGAACACGAACAAGAAGGAGGGCGAGCAGAGGCAGACAATGGTAGACAGCAGGGAACACATGGATGAAACATGGTGAATACACAGACGGACCAGCACCTACAATGACAGAGGACACGACTTAAATACACACAGAAAAACACAGGGGGAATTACACACAGGTGGTGGACACAGCTGGGAATAATCAACAAGACAAGACAGAGGTAAAACTGGACACACTCACATGAGACACAGACCTTCACAATAAAACAGGAAACGAGAACACTACACCAAGACGCAGACCTGACACTGAGAGACAGACAGACAGAGAATGACACATGGAACCTGAACTAAACTAAACGTGAGATACAACCGAGAACAAATCCTTAACATGAATAAACAGAAACATAGAATTCTAATAATAATCATCATTATAATAATAATACTCATAGCGCCCAAAACCACAACAATCATCCAAAAATAAACTAACAATCAAAACTCAAAATACTGGGTCGAAACTGACCCAGAACTGTGACATTATGGAAGGAACTGTCAAGTTGAAGTAATGATCCTATTAAGTTTGGTTCGCTTGTTTAGCCCTTAAGGCAAAAGGAACACACATCTGGCATTTGCTGAAGAACTGTGGGAGGTGTTTGTAGAGGTCATGGTTTGGTCAGGCCTTTGGTTGGCTTCAAAATGATTCTGTCAAACCATCAGACAAGTCAAAAGCCAGTTTCCTTTAGGATCTGGACATTGCGGGGGGTACCCTGGTTGCCTCTGCAACATCAGGTAGATGGTGGGTTTCCACTTCAGGGGAATCACGTGCTTCAGACTTCCTGAGAAACACTTTGACCTCCTACAGGAGAGCAAAGTCCAACTGCTGGATTTAAGAGGAACAATGTTGTTCCCTCCCTAGCCATTAAACAGTAGACCACCCATTTTTGAAGGAACACAGAAGTTTGCTTAGCCAGTCTATATGTGTTTTTTAGATCTGAAGAAGGCGTTCAGTGAGTATGTGTGTCATGTGGGTTGTGCTTTGACGGTATCAGGCACGTTGTTGCATGCTATTTGGTTCTTGACCAAACTGACAATTTGGTTAACATTATCAGATTGTCAGACCACCAAAATAAATGTCACAAAAAGCATATTGATAATTTTTCCCTGCGCACCAGGCATAGCGGAATTGACTCAGTATGTGCCCAGTATGCCTTTTTTGCTCTCTTCTGACCACTACTCATGCTAGGGTCATCTAGGTCGGAATTCTCTCCAGGACACAGGTCAGATTGACTACTTCTTCTTTTCAAATATTTATCCATTGCTATTGCTGCTTGTCTCACTCAAAGCATGGCTATTATTTAATTTCTTCTTCCTCTTCTTCTGTTTTACTGGGCAGTTTGCAAACCATTTAATTAGAGCAGGTAGTTGTACTGCCCTCTAGTGGAAGAGAATGTAATTGTTCTGCCCGTTACTCAGGCCGGATGCAGCAGGTGTAACCAGATAATCTTCCACGGCACACCTATGTGCAGAGGTTGGGAAACACTGCTCTATATAGTATAGTCTTGTACCTTTGTGCAAAAGTTAACCATGGCTCAGATTTATTTTCAAGTGGTAGTACATTGTCAATAAGGAAAAAATATTTGTTCACTCTATCACTAGTGCTTTAAAGAGCACATTAGTAACATTGGTTAATTCATTTTTGACTGCTCATTATCTGAAGAAGCTCAGTATAAACAGATCCGCTTAATATTCTGTTTAGCATGCAGCAGGTAGATATTCTGCTATGATGAATCTTTTTCATGTCCATCTCCATCTGTCCTAGTGATATTATCTATTCAGTTTTCTGGCACATCATACGCATGCTATACTACAGCATACAAATGAAATGAGCAGGAAATACTTACATATCAAACATTCAACATTGGCTCAGCAGAAAGGTCATCCTACTAAAAAATGCATTTCAAAACATGAACATTTTTGACTAGTAGTCAAGTAGATCAGTCTCTCACTAGCAGTACTTTATCTTAAAGTAGATATCAATAGTATTTTCAGATAGCAATATATCTTCCTTGCATCATCAGCAGATGCCGTAAGTGACTAACTGGTGAACATAATAAAATATTTGGCAATGAAGGCACGAGATATGTTACATAGCAGCTGGAAAATTTTTAAGTAAAAAACAGGAGCCGTGCTTAAAGAAACTCAATATTCATCTTACTGGTATGATGATAAACTTGTTTCTAAATAATTGACAATTCTCATCCCTATAACATCTGAAAAATGATGTATATTAACTTCAGAGATATTTGTAACTCTCCACGGTCCCAAAGGGGCCATCTTTAAGTTAAATATAAGGTATTTGGTAAATGTTAGGTAAAGACCGTCTTCAAATGTAAAAAAGAATAACATGAAACATGGCAAGTGAGCATATCAGCAATATTATATTTGGTGAGTAAATAGGAAAGGACAAAAAAAACCTCTCTGGAGGATGCAAAGTGTAGCCATTTCTGTCCCCTTCAGACTTATATGCTTGAGGGGCTTTTAAGAATACGCTATTAGGCCACAGGTGCAATCATTGTGAGTGCTCAATTAAACAGAAGCTGTTTAAAAGCCTTTTTTTTATAGCAGATAATGAATTTGACGTGTGGGAAAGCACAGGTGTAAGAAATAAAAAATAATGACGAATGAATTTCATTTAGCTGCTTTTATTTCAGGGTTGCATTGTGGTGACTGTAGCTCATGACGTAGAGCAGGGCACCTACTAATCAGAAGGTTGTTGGTTTGATAACTGGCAGCTTAAGTCTGTTTGCCAAAGTATCACTGAGCAACATACTGAACCCCAATTTGCTTTCCGATGTGTTCGTCAGAGTATGAATGTGTGTGGCTGTTAGATAGAAAGCATTTAGGTGTCCTGAATGGGTGAATGAGGCATGTTGTATGAAGTGGTCAAACAGGAAAGTGCCATATAGGGACCGTTCCATTTGTGGTCCCTCAGTAGGTCAGAACACAACAGAACCATACTAAATGTCTCTTATTTTGTCGTATCAGAACAGCTGCAGTGAAAAGGGTTTTTTTTTCCATTTTCATGTTAAAAAGGCCCTTGGAAATAACACAAACAGACACACACAAAATTTACCCATCCTTAAAACTATTGCAATATGATTACATACTTTAATTGGTGGTTGGCCTAAGGGAAGCTGGTGGCGCTGTTAAAGCCGTGGGGCCATATTGCCATCATGGTTTTTATCTACTTTTCCACTATGAGGGAAGGATCGCCGTTAATCAATACAAAGTTTCCCTGAAATCACCTTTAATGTATGATGCAACATTTCTGTGATGTAATAGTGGTCACCATACTGATAATGCTCTCGTTCACATCGGGGACAAGGGGTAGCACAATTTTTGGGTCTTCATCATCTGTTTGATGTAAAACCAGGGCTGTCATACATCAATATATAAGCATTTTTTATTTAAATGTGTAAATATTAAACTTTTAGCTGTGTCTAGAGGAATAATTATAATATAAATTATTTTTAAAAAGTAATTATTTGTAGCAATAAACATTTTACTGCCTCTGTCTTCCTTTACATATGGACATACATATTTCTTTTATCTGTGTTTCCATACTAAAATGACTTCTGCCAATATAATTTTATATTTTCATACAATTTTAGATATAATTCTTTGTAACTATGGCACTTCCATAACACTCAGATTGCTAAATATGCTGTTTAATATTGCATAACAGTTGTCTTGTTTTTCTTCCAGGTATATGGCCATAGTCCATCCTCTGAGGCCTCGTATGAAGTACCAAACTGCCTACTGTCTGATAACAGGAGTCTGGATTGTTCCCATTCTGATATCAATTCCCTCTGCCTATTTTGCCTCTGAGACCATGTACCCTCATGGAGGCGCCACCTCAAACACTCACAAAGTCTTTTGTGCCCAAATATGGCCTGTGGACCAGCAAGTGTACTACCAGTCATATTTCCTGTTTGTCTTTGCTGTGGAATTTGTTGGCCCTGTGATTGCCATGGCAATGTGTTATGCCCGAATTTCCCGCGAGCTGTGGTTCAAAAATGTCCCAGGTTTTCAGACAGAGCAAATACGGAAGAGGCTGCGCTGTCGCCGTAAGACAGTGATGGTCCTGATCGGAATCTTGACCGCATACATCCTGTGCTGGGCACCGTATTTTGGATTCACCATTCTGAGAGACTTCCACCCGACACTTATCTCCCGCCAGAAGAACTCACTGGTGGCTTTTTACATTATTGAGTGTATTGCCATGAGCAATAGCATGATAAATACCTTCTGTTTTGTTAGTGTCAAGAACAACACAGTTAAGTACCTGAAGAAGATTGTACTGTTGCGCTGGAAGTCAACTTATACCCCTAGTAAGACTGTCGAGGAGATGGATGTGAGAACTTCCTCCTTGCCAGTAACAGAGGAAATTGAATGCATTCACCTAAGGTGAAGAGAAAAATTGTCAAACTAAATATTACTGACATTTGGGTCTCTGTAGTAGACTGCTGAGATTTGGACATCAAATCTTGTGCTCAGATTATGGAAACTGTCCAAGCTTCACGAACCGCACGGAACCACTGAACTGACTACTGGGCCATTAGGCAGTTCCATATATATTCCAAATACCTACAGTATTTCTGCATTATGAGAATGTGATCGTTGTGCTGTTCATACTGTGGGTATTAACTGTGCATTGTAGATTATTGTCTCATCTGTATACACTATATTACACTGAAAACATGTGAATAATAGCTGCTGCTGCCCTAACTGCCCCATCCAAAATGCTTATCTTGGTATTACTTGTATAAGTTCTGAACAAAATCAAATAAGTGTTGACACCAATTTTAAAATACCAAATACCATTTTTACTGTGTGTATATGTGTGTGTGTGTGTGTGTGTGTGTGTGTGTGTATAAGTGCACATTTTATAAATTCCATGAAATTACAAATTCCATGCCATTTAAGTATATCTAAGTATTGAACATTGAGCAAAGTTCATTTTAACAACTGAATAACCCAACAAAGACATATTTCCATGTCTGCTGAGTGTAAAGATACATTCTTTTCATCATTTCCGCTACAACAATCAATATATTGCATGCTTATTTGTAGAACAGTACATGTTATATTTCCTGATGGTAATAAACTATAAGAAACTGGAAACAAAGGCTATTTTTGTTTACCATGCTGCATTTTTTTCTATGTGTCCCTCAGTTGCCTGTGCTATTATTGAATGTATTCTTTATCACAGCGAAAGTTTTAAATATTAAAGATTGGAATACTTCACAGCTTGTTTTCATTTATAGACATAGAAGCAGTGAGGGGCTAAAAGACAATATCTTCCTTGGCAGCCTTCCAGCATCCAAGTAAATTTGTTTGATAGAGAATAAAGTTTAGTGAGATTTATTTTTGGTCATGTTGGTAACCACCACACTGACGCACAAGGGCTATAATGAATACTTAATGTGCTATTCCTCCAACTGTGAGAGTGAGTACAAACCTTATACTCCCGTATATTTTCTGAGTTGGTATAAATAATGCATATGGGTACTTTTATCGGTCCTGTGGGTATGTAGAGATGTACAGTGAATGATACCAAGAAGAGCTGAAAAGTGTGAAATAGCCAGCACGGCTCCTTAAAAATTACATTTCCATGTAGCTAAATGTTATGTTATTATTTAAGTTTGTGACATTTAACAACAATAAGTGATTGATGTGTATTTGCTATTTTTGGCCTTTCTTTTCTACTGACATTTCTTGTAAAGGAAACAATCTGATATTAGATGGGGTGGAACTCGTCACCCTGGTAACCCTACTGTCTGTATATAAAAGATGGATGTAGCCTCTGTGATTTAACTCACTGCTTTGTGAAGTCATGTTTTGAAGGCTGGATTTGAGCATTTTTGCTGTTGGCATCTTGGATTTTTGTAGTAAATGTCACATAAGAATCTGATTGAGAAATCTGAGGATAATGTACACTCAAAGGGTAGTGACTTGTCAATCAAGATAACCATATCCTAAAACATACCATGCTTTTTTTCTAAATAGACTTTATTTAAAAAGCTATCAGACTTTACAAAATTAAAGTATTATGTTAAATAAGAGTTGAAACAAGTGACTATAACCCAAAACACAGGAAAGTATCTGCTGATGTCATAAAAGAAAAACGTGGCATTGTGAAGTTATTTCTTTGAACTATGCTTTTTCACTCATTTTCGGCCCAGTTCTTGAACCTGACCATTCTCAGGAATAAGTTCTTACTAGCAGCCTGTGTTAAAAACACATCATTTTCTCCCATTTCATTAGTAGAATATATGAAAAATAACAAAGCTAACAAAGACAAAGAGTTTGACAGACATGAAATACTATTTTTAGAAGAAGGTCCCATTAAGTGACCACTCAGGATATCTCAGCATGGTGTGCAGTGTCCCTAAAAAATTGAGAAAAACAGACAAGTGGAGGACAATAGAAGAGGTGGGCGATCTAAAAATGACTATCTACAGCAGAGGGAGAGCCACTAAAAGCCACGACCTTAAGAAAAAGAAAAAAACAACAAGGACCAGACTAAGATCTGAGAGATGCATCTGACTCTTCAATTGATACATATACTGCTCACCAGAAACAGACAGTGGATGTTCTGTCATGGTTTGGAACTGTTTTTCACCCAGTGGTTGGGGATCTTGTCAAAACTGATGGAATTACAAACACAGAAAGTGCCATCAGCTACTGATCCACCATGCAATACCTTTTTTAAAGCTTCTGAAAGGCAAAGGCTTAATTTTAGTATAACAATGATATGACACATGGAGCCAGTGCAGTAAAAGCATGCCTAGATAGACAAACACACAATATAGTCTCCCCCAGAGCTTTGACCTCAACATTATTGGAGTAGTGTGTGATCATCTTGACAGAGAACAGAACAAAAGTCAGCATCCAAAGAAGTCATTCAGTAAGCTCAGAGAATTTTTTCTGAAGACTTCTTAAAGAAATGATAAGAAAGCTTGCCTGAGCCAATTTAGGTGATATTGAAGAATAAAGTGGCCATTTTCAATGCTGATTTTCAAGCTTGTTTGAATTGTACAGATTCTGTTTTTGTCTTTTTTTTTAGATGTCTTTGCACATTTCAATAAATTTTCCTTTCCCCTATTTTCCTAGCAAAATATGAAGAAATTAGTAGTCACTCAAAACTGCTGCATAGTGCTGTATACACATTCAGCCAGAAAAACTTTTTCATACTGGTCATTACAAAGAACAGAAGTCTAAGGCATATCGACATTAGTTTCACCTTTCAGGCCTATGGGTGTTTTACATACAACCTAAAAAAATAGTCGTGCTGCCTGGACCTATTATAACTATAGGACATATTTAATGTTTTCTGGCATTTCCATAATGGCATTTGTCCTACTTTATTACATACTGGGCACAGTACCTCTTGCACCTACAAGGATTTGTCAATATAAACCTGATTCCCAAGTTAATATTGACAAAGGTCGGTTGGCCACCTAACCTTGTATCCGTTGTCACCATCAGCAATGCACCTGGAAAAATGGCCGCTGATTAAAAGGCTTTTTAAATGTTGATAATGTCTGTGTCAAAATCACTGTGGTCACAAGAGCCACTCTATATGGGCAATTTCAGCTAAACATTACAAGGACAGTTAAGCATTAAAGGATTTGCTCTTCTAAATAGCAAGCTATCTTTATAGTGTTGACCTTTAGGGGACCTTTAGTGTCCATTGTAGATTAAGCTAGTGCATGTTAAATCTATTAAATATCATTCACTTTCATTTAAGCTCCTCTTTGGAAGAGACAGCAGTGTCAATTGCACAGTTATAAGAGATAAGTAAATGCTCTAAGTGTAATAGTCTACAAAACAAACTGCATGAACCAAAACAAGCTAAGCTAAGAAGTATTAGCAACTTTAGATCAACTGGGCCAAAAATAAATAAAGTGTGATTAGCACTCTTGCCTTACAGCAAGAAGGTCCTTAGAGGGAATCGTCTACTTTCTGGGGCCATGCTAAGTGGAGCTTGCCTGAATAGGCTCCCTGAGTGAGTTCTTCCTGAGTACTCTGGTTTCCTTCCCCAGTCCAAACTGAAATTAATGCGGACACATTTTCCTAAACAACTTTTTCCCCCCCATTTTCCATTCGGTCTTTCAGTACCCACTCACTTCCTTTAATTGCCCTATTTCCCAGTGTAAAGCATTTAAGTGAAAATATCTAAGCAAAAAGAATTCAACAGCATGTCTTTAACCATTTACAGGGCACTCACTGAAATACTTGGAAATTCACATTTTACATCTTAGAGTTTAATTGGATAATGATGTCACTTATAGGTGACTTTTTGATGATTGGCTGGGAGAAATCAGTGTGGATAATCTCACAGAGACAGGGAGGGAGACCAGCTTGGGTGTCCACTGAAGGTACCCAAATACGGTTTCTCACCTGATAAACAGTTAAGCAGGGAATTGCTATTGTTTTCTTGAAAATCGTCTAATGAGGAAATCATTCCTTTTCTCATTTTCTCTACCAAATGCATGCTAGTAAGATGGCTACTCATAACAAATTTAAATGAACCCATGGCAGTGGGCACAACAATGCCATCCGGCTATACTAATGCACGGAGACATTTTAACAGTATCGAAATCATTAGCCTGTAAAGCAGGAGCGGAGGTAAGAAGAGGTTCTATCTCTGGAACACATTTAATTTGAATCGCAAATACTGACCTTTTTTATTAACCACACTCCACAGCATGTGTCACACTTAGTCTACACTGAGCTTAGTCATGCTCATTTTCATCATTTGGCCATTAGTTTCCTATTTACATCATCTGAAGATTGCTCACTTGCGCTGAATTTCTTGCTGGCTCTTGGTTGATGCTTGGAAATGTTTACTTTGCCATTATCAGGGTCCTTGCTTATTGTCTCCATCAGTCTCTGTGCTCGCTTCCCTGTGGGCAAAGTCTCACTTAGTGAAAATGTGTTATTTTTTCCCCCCTCAGTACCTCACTTTCCTGGAGAACCTGCTATTAGGCTTTACAAATAAACATTTTCAAAGAAATTATTTCATCCTCCGACTGACAGCTCAGCTTCTCATT